GTAAAGGTAATTTTAATATATTTGATTTAAAAATTCGCTATATCAAGGGTTCGCTATATCAAGGTTTGACTGTACTTCCAAGATATTTACGCAAATTAGGGGCAGTATTTGCAGTTATATCACATAGTGCGAAGAATTTATCAGAGGCTATGACTATTGCCAGTGAAGCACTTCACCACAGTCCCGACAACCACACCTCCCTTGCAAAAAATTATACTATAGTAAATTATCGCAAAAGATGATAACTTTATGATCAGGCAAAGGCAATCAAGATCTTTGATGAAAACTAATCACATACTGTATATATTGTATATGGATTAGAGGATTGGGATATCATTTATTAATTTTATTTTTTCGCTCGAGGCAAAATATATTATACATAAAATATCACAAAAATGGTAACCGATCAAAATCATTCATCTGATAGTATATCTAACGAACGAATAGGAAGTTATCAGACATATGAAGAACTTAGCCTGGATATTTGGATTAAATGAGCAAAATGCAAAAGTGTATAGTGCGCTTTTCAGTGAAAATAGAATGCTAAAGAAACAGTTGGAAGAATATAATTCCCAATATAATACTTTAGAGAGGAGGGTAAAAAGACTGGAAAGAGATGTAAAGAGCCTGGATACTGAATTAGAAATTCTGAAGGATTGTGCAGATACAAATACTGTGATCGACTTAATACAAAAAATTGTCTCCTTGCTGGTTAGAGAAAAAAGCCTAATAAAGAATAATCCTTCCTCCTATTCGTCTGAGTCTTCCGAAGAATCTGATTTAGCTAGGATAATTATGCAAATAAATGGAAAGAAAATGCTGATTTCTCATGAGCAACGAAGGAAAGCGCGACCAAGAAAGGATAAGCGGTTAGTAGTCTGAAGTAGGCTGAGTCAGTTAAAAGTTCGTAATAGATGCTTTACAAGTGTTTGAGTTATATGACATAGTAGAAAGGCTTAGTCAGGAAGAATGATTGCATAATTTTTTCGCTGATTAAATATAAAATATAAAATACAATACTTAAAATGGCTTATATAGAATGTAAAGTTTGGCATTTTCAAGGAAATAATGATATTGATCTAAAAAGTCATCATGAAGCAATGAAAGCAGGATGTAGATATTATACAGTCAAGATATTGATAGACACATCATCTAGAATGTAATAAATGTTACCATTAATTACAGTGGTAAAGAAAGGAGTGATTCAGAAGAATAATAAGAAATAGTGTTTTTATTAGTATTGTATGTATAGTGCTTAGCAACTATAGAATAGCATTTTTTAATGATCTAGCTGTTTTTATGGTTAATAGAAAGAAAACAAATGTAATTAATAAATAATCACTCGAAAATAAAACACATTTAAAAAATTCAATGTAAAATCTTTATTATATTTCTTGTAAAATAAATGTGAGAAAGGCCAGTTGGCTAAGTAAAAAATGAAACTAATAAAAGATATTGGAGTAGATCTCGTTTAAAGAGATGATCACGCTGTCTCCTAAGCCACAATATAGCGGTTCCTTCTCACTACCCCATATTATTTTCATTATTATGATTTGCGTTACTCGCATTATTATTATTTCCACCACCTGCATTATTATTTTCACTACTCCTAGCAACTTCTTTACTTTCTACCTATCTTATAATTGACATTACTGTGCTAAATTTTGGATCTCCTTTACCATAATAAAAGTTTTCTACAGTACTCTTCCCAATTCTTTCCCCAGTAAGATCACGAACTTCATGTGTCACGGTTTCAATCGCATAATCCAAAGTATCCTCACTTTCTTTTCGAGTCGAAAACATGCTTAAAACGGTTTCTATTTTCTTCGAGAGATGAATTGGATGAAGCAGATGATGTACTCTTTTGATTAAATTCATCTCAATGCTTTTGAGCAACTGCATAACGTTGGATCATTTCATTTCAGAGAGCTTCAATAGAGGTCTTGATTGAAGTGAATTCAGATGAAATATTTCCAAAATCATTACGGCAGGCATCTTCAATATTATCAAGTCTTGTGATCACATTATTGACCATTGATAAAATTTTCTGCGCCTCAGAGACATAGCCAGCATTACGTAAATTGATTTTAGCGATTTCTGCAGTAAGTTTATTATTATTTTTGCTGAGCTCCGCAGTGAAAGAAGAATTAATTTCAGAAAGATGTGCGGAAAGTTCATTGGTGATTTTGGTATTAATTTCTGCGGTAAGTTTACTTAAGATGTTTTCAATTTCCAGTGTATCATTCTTTGCATTGACAATTCTAGTGACACGTGCAAAAAGCTCATTGGAAATTTTTTGTTTGAGATTTGAACACATGGTAGCGATCCCTATATATAACACTGGACCAATAAACAAAAAAACAGCGGTTAATGTCAAAAAAGGCATGACCCCCGAAGAGTTGAGCAATGACAAACTGGACATGATTAGGCGTAGTAATTTTATTAAGAGATTTTATTGGTGGATCAAGTTTTTTAGATATTAACGATTATTTTTTTTAATATGTAATTCTCATGCGTAAATGCGCTGGGAAAAAGGCTTATTTTATACTGTATGCCTACTATGCACGAAAAGAGACTTTAACCCGATTTAATAAAACCATGTTGCTTTATTATGTGTATTTGTCATAACTACATTTTTCATGATTATATTCTTTTTCCAGCTAAAGCAATAATAACGGCCTGGATCCCATCTAATAATAACAAATGTCTCAAAATTTTCCGTTTATTTCTAAGATCGCATGTAGGCATCTTTGTTTGAGTTCACAACCCCCCTATTTCAATTGTAATCACAAAAAAGGAATAAATGGATCGAGGTCTGTAGATGACGAATCGCACATGTATAACTAAATCCTATTCAAAAATGGATTAATATGTGATTAACCTGTACACGTAATTTGAATGTGCTAACGCCAGTAGGATAATAAAAATATACCATTTATCCAATGATCTGTAAATCATAGATTCTAATCGGCTCTATTTCCATTTTTGAATTTCTTTTTAACGACGCCCTGTCTTACGATCTGCAAAATGTAAATCAGGGATGTGGTTTTTTTTTATTAGTAATTCAGAACTGCATAATGAGTGAGTTAAAACATACCAGAACTTTGGGGAAAGTCCATCAGTATAGCCAGTGATGTCCATTTCCTATGTCCCAAGCATTTGCTGTTCCAGCTATATGTCCCAACTATGTCCCATATATGTCCCAAATGTCCCATCTGTCCCATCAATGTCCCATCAGTGTCCCAACTATGTCCCATGACAACACTGAGTATAGCAACACAAAAATAATTCTCTTGGCCGGGGTTATTAATAGATCCTCTAAAAATAACGATTGCGGATGCCGGTGACATACTACTGCGCATAGAATATTCTGCGGATTCACATGAACCAGTGACGTATAACTACGGAAAAGAATAAATGACATTTTACTGTGCACGATATCTAAGCCACCCACGTGATTCGAAAAAAAGAAACAAACCTATGCGATAATTCAGTTTATGCGAATATATGATTCGCTTGATAATTCTCCTAGGCGGTTACCGAAGAGATAATAGGACCTTGACCATGAGTCAAGGGTACGGAATCATCAAAATATATATCATGGTTCTCGTGGATTTCCATGAGTATTTTATCAAAATCGTCATCAGCAGGTGGTTTTTCCTCTAACTTTGCTATTCTTGTCATTTCTTCACGCTGGAGCCTTTCATGTAGTTCATGATCATATTCATCATCGGAGTCAGAGTCATCGGATTTGAAATATACATCGGAATCAGATTTATTAGCATCGGAGTCTTCTTCCTCTTCAGATTCACTAAGAACGTTTTTAGGTCCCTCCGGGATCTCTTCTTCTTCCTTAAAATAATCTGTAACATCCGAGGTATTACTAAAATTGTCATCTGAGGGGTCATTAGCTGAAGTATTAGCCATGGTCTCAGAGGTTTCGTTCACATGACTAGTGATTGTTTTCAATTTGACTTGATCAATGATATATTGGATTTGTGGATTAGTGAGTTTTGAGATACTATAAGCATTACAGGTGACCCGATTAACCATGTATCCTGGCATACCATCAATCTTTTTCAGAGTTACGGGATCATATTCATACCCAAACAACTTATTGATTTTTCGTGCTCTACAGGTCATTGTACGTAAATTTCCATCCGAAACGCCTGTAAGGTAAGGTTTCATTTCATTATAAATCTGCTTTCGTGCAGTTTGATCTGTAAGTTTCTTATCATTAGACCTAAGCTCCACGACTTTATCTTCGAATCTTTCAGAAAATAAACGCCATAATGTAATCTCTGATCGCTTTGCTACAATCGGTTTATTTCTTCCAACATTTGCCTGGCAGAATGAATTGGCAAGTCTCTTAATACTTATCGATCTGGGAACTATGGTTTTAGGAGAAGAAAACTTTATAGTCTGGAGTGGATCGTCAGATGAGAGTAGCTCTTCCAACAAATCTTATACGAATTCAGTTACTATACTTGAAGAAGCCTGAACATTCCCACTATTCTTGGTCAGTAGGATGTGGTCCCTTTGGGACGCCCTTGGTAAGCTATCAGAAGATTTTTCTTTTTCCGATCTTTCTGTCTCTACATTTCTATCTATCTCCGGGCAGATGATGGGAGAAGTATTGGCAATTTCTTCCTCTTGTTTTTGTCTCTCATGTGATGATTTCGAATTTTCGGAAAACCTGTTACTCACAGGAATGGGTTTTATATCACGTGATAAGTTTGGGTCTACTACAGATGGAACATTATCTTTCTGATCATGATCTTGTTCTTAATCGAGAGGTGCTGTGTATGAGATATCTGTAATTGTAACCGTTTCACAAGATAAATCTGAGGAAGCAAAACTATTACTTCCATCAATGATTCGACTCTCTGACCCATCCGACACCTCAACATTGTTAACCGTTTCTAGTGCGTAAGCAGTATCAGAGATATTGTTCTCGTTAGCTGATTCACGCTGGAGTTTCTTCTCCTCATTGTGTCGCCTAATATCTTCACCAACAATTTTCTTATCCTCTTCATCCAAGAAAATATTCATCTCTTTCTCCTTTAACGATTTTTCATGATGGACCGCACCTGAATTGAAGTCAGATGAGTTATTGTTAGGGGTATTATCATTGGAAGAATTATCATTAGAAGAATTATCATTTAGCACCTGCTTCTATTCCACTTTCGTGAGTCTATCTCTAAACTCAACATTCTCGGCCCTGAGTTTGGCATTCTCAGCATCACACCTCTCGTTATATTCCTTATTCACTCTTAGAAATTTGTTATTACTGCGCTTAAGTTCAGCTATTTCAGCATCAGATACCGAGAGCTTTTTTCTAAGATTTACGTTCTCAGCCTCAAGTTCAGTGATACGCTGTTTCGATAACTCAAGCTCAGATGATATGATCTATATAACTAATACACTGTATGTTAGTATTCAAAATCAGAAAAAAATTGTAGGTTATTTCAGCTGATCATATCCTAGAGATATGGTTTTGCCAAGAAATTTTTTATTAATACATAGGAAAAATAAATACAAATGTTCGGGACTTAACCCGTGATACATATTATTTTTTTATAATTTTTTTGATTCTAGCCCTCTTGCTAACTGGGGAACCATCTACACTAACACGATCTTTTAACAGCCCAACAATAATACCTATTACCCTTTTCACGTTGCTTCGAAGTAACTCTGGATTTTCTTTAACGGCAGACTTTGTGAGATTAATTTGGTATTCACTTCCACTCGTAGAGTATATATCATCAGGAGTATATATGATAAAATGCCACTCTGTGCCTGTAGTCACAATACCATATATATAATCAAAATAGTCATTCTCAAAGGCTTGATCCGCAGTCCGCTTCTTCTTATTTGTCTGAAATGCACTTTCAAGTTGCGTCAGATTCTAAGAGATAAAATGGGGTTAATATTATTGAATCTATAAACACAATCTGAGTAGTAGACCTACTTAGGCATATCCAATCTTAATATTACGAGGTTTTCCTTCAGTAATACAGAGGAGGTCTTCCAAGCTTTTGATCGCGTAATCTACTCGGCCAGTTGCATCTTCACTGAAAACATCTTTTTGTAAAACTATGAATATATCCTGAGAGGTGATATTTTTAGCTATAGCGATGGAAGCATGAAGAATAGATGAAATAAATTCACAATGAGTCACCTCGTTGGCGTCGGTCATGGTCTCCACATTCAAAAGTTTTAAGATAATATCATCCATACAATGATTAAGCGCCTTATCATCATCATTGATATTCTCGAAGACTGCAGGAAAAAAATAAGATTAGTATGTTAACTAGGTTAGCTTTGCTAATAAAATTAATCACCTACCAGGAGTGAACTGCTTGATGTTTGTTATATCTTCCCCGTTGATCTTATTTCTATGTAACATTTCTTTCAAGTCGTCAAGAGTTTTAAGTGAGGAATAGTTTCTTAATTTTTGGCTGAAACCTTCAATAAATTCTGCGAGAACCGTTGCTGGACCTAATGCAAAGCCAATACTGCGAAAGTCCTCTTTAGTTAACTTAAGAAAGGCTAGACCGGTGATTTCTTCCTTACGTAAAATTTTAAAGTGAGACTCCTTGAGTTTCAGATCTTTTCTCTCCAAATAATCGATAAGCTCCTCTGTATTAAAATCCTTAACCACGTCCGACATTGTTCTGGTGGATATTACTTCCATTATTGAGGCTGGTGAAGTGGGTGAAGAAGCTTGTGAAGACATAGCATTTATATATGTGTGCTTGTGTTTGTGCTTGCGAAAAAATATGCATTCGACTGCAGTTACAGATAAAGCTGGTTTATGGATATAAAAGTATTTTTGGTTTCCAGTGTAAGATATATTCGGAGAGAAATAAAAGAATTGATTAGCACTTTTACTCAATATATATGCAAAATTAAGATGTAGTACAGAATTGTCAGTGATTATATTACATCATTACACGTGACCTTTTCTCATGTACTGGTAAAATAATACTTTATTTATGAAATAAATCGTTGCCGGAGTCGACAACTAATACATAAAAATATTACTATATAGAAAGGATTTAGAATTCTATGATAATATGAATTTTATCACTCGGGGGTTCGACAGGGAAATGGTCAGAAATTAATTTGTATGGAAAAATTGCTAATTTTTATCGATCTCATTTTCCTTATTATAATACTCAATCTGATCAGAAATTTTTGTAATTGCTCCGGTGTCAGCCTTATAAATAATAAAGCCATTTGGATCAATATTTGTGAAAAAAGGTGCCCATCGATTTCTGATAATAGTCCTTAACTCGTCAAATGTTTCGTTTGTGAAGATTTTAAGCACGATAATACTATGACCTGAAATATTTTTATTATTATTATTATTAATAGATGGGGTATGGGGAAAAAAGAGGCAATTGAGCCTAATCGTTTTGGTCATTAACCAACTCACGTTCATTTCCTAATGTAAAATCCATAGTAAAAGTTACTATCTTATAGATACTTCGAAACATTTTGTTGTAGTTAATAAAATTTTATACACACCTTATTTTCGTTATTTCTCTGGGAAAGTTTTTTTGCGGAAAGTTGACTGAACTTTCACATGCCCTTACATGCTTTATATCTTGCTGGGAAAAGTTAAGGTGGTAAAAGGCGTAATTAGTATTGTCGTCTGATGCCAAGAGCTCTATGAAAGCACATGCAAACGGAATCCTCATACCTTTTTACATGTAGATCTACCGGAAAGACATATAGTTGGTTTTACGCCTAACGATCTTAAAATTGCAAATCCTTCAGCCTTTCATAACATATGCTTTTGTTGGCACTATTTACTTTTAGAGCTGGTCCTGTACTGCAACTAGACATTCTTTCACATTTTTCTCATGTTTGTTTGGGAAAAAATAGAGGTACTAGTTAGCATACTGTACATAACTTTCGATATATGTGAAAATTAATTAATATGTCACACAAACCCTACCCAGTGATCGGCTATTACATCATTGCGCAAAAATCCGTGCTAAGTCTTCCAAGCTGATGATCACTATTCCGGGTTGATGATTAGTATTCTGGACTTCAGCCCTTCAATAAATTTTCCGCATTAAATATATTACTTTATTATAGTAATCATGACGAATATTAATACCGAAACGCTTGCTCAGTTTTATGGACTGCTTTTATATAGGAAGAAGGATATAGTAGCCATTCAGGAAAACTCAGTATGTTACCTCTGCTAACCATTGGTGACAATACAAATAAAATAACAGTGCCTCCAGATTCCGAGCTTATGGGGAAAACACTTGCTGATTCATATGAGTTGTTGTTAGAATTGGTAGGGGATTTAATGCCGATACAGGAGAATCTCAATATTGATGGTAATCACATTCTAGAAGAGGCACTTCAAAGCAATAAAGCTTCTACGGATATTTCATTTGGTGAAATATTTAATTTGCTTATGTATTTGGAAGATGATATAGTGGCAATTCAGGATAAACTTGGTATCGTTGGCTATACTAATCAAGAAAAGGCAGAAGAGGCCGATAGAAATGTAAGAGTATATCTTCGAAAGTTTGAGGAATTCCATAGTCCCTTAGAAGATGGTCTAGATGTGATTTTACTGAAATATTGTGAAATTGGTGTAAAGAAAATTTGGTTTACTGGAGAGGGGCTCCCATTATTTCCGAAGGTCACTCCTCAACAATTGCACGAAATTTTCGTAAAAAATTTGGCTGGCACAGACCAATGCCCATGTCTAGTATAAGTTAGTTAATTTATATTTTTTTGTCGCACAATCTGTGGCTCAGTAAATTCTTCCGAGCTAATGATCACTGCTCCGGTTAATGATTAATATTCCAGACTCAAAATTGAATGTATGCTAACCAGAGATAAACACAATCATAACAAGCAATACTAATATTAATTCTGATAAAAGCAAAGCTCAATTATATGAAGTGCTTTTATATAAGAAGAAAGATATAATAGCTATTCAAAAAAAACTCGGTATAGACCCAGACTGGAGGAAGGGACCTATTGAGATTAGAAATCAAACAGCATTGAATCAAAGCAAAAAAGAAAAAATACTTGAAGATTCATTTGGGCTGTTATTTGATTTGGTGAGAGAATTAATAGATATACGGGGAGATCTTGATGTGACCTGCCAACCCATTATTACTATATTATATGAAAATATACAAGATCTTAAGGAAGGAACATTTAGGAAAATGCCACTTGGAACATTATATCATTTGCTTTTATATTTGGAAGAGGAAATAAGCGTGATTCAGAATGATCTTGGTATTGTCGGTTATACTAATCTAGAAATAAGTGAATTAGAAGCTGATAAAAATGCAAGAGCATATTTTCAAAAGTTTAGACAATCCCTTAGGAAATGTTCCAAGTGTGGTAATACAGAAATTCATTAATAGGATTTTACCGAAGAGGGCTTCCATTATTTCAATTGTGTGTAAAATTCAGCTAGTGTCCGTATCTAGAACAGTTAGCTAATCTATATTTTTTTTGTCACATAGGAATACACGTGAGGCTCAGCAAAAAATCAATGATCACTGCTTCAGGCTATCGGCTGGGTTGGGAAAATCAGTCATAGCTCGAATCTGACTATCAGATAATATCGAAATATAATTTACTTCTTCAAATGGGATCGCAAAATTATCGTCTAATAATAGTTTTGAATCGCATATATCCAAAATTGCACCACTTTCTCAGAACCAAGGACCTCCCAAAATTAAATCAGGTCCCGGCCAATCTGGTCTAAGAACAATGAATTCACTGGATGTGCTTTTATATTTCTCGCCATCATTAAAGCTGATATGCAGATTAACCTTTCCTATTGTGGAATAGATTGCATTCGGTATTTTTATGCTATTGTTTTCACTGTAATATGTAATTCCTAATTCACTAATATTTTTTTGGCTAATACAATTTACATCAGCACATGTTTCAATTGATGCCTGGGTAGGACTATTTTCTTCGATTACACAATTCACGAATACCATTTTTATTATAACATATAATATCCAAATATAAAAAATAAATCTCTATTCACTGTTCCGGACTAGTTAGGTGATCAGGAAGTTGATTAATCTTATTTTTGCTATATGCATTTTGCTTGTTTAGTCCAAATATCCGGGCTAAGTTCTTCGTATGTCTGATAACTTACTGTTCGTTAGATGAATCAGATGAATGATTTTAATCAGTTACCATTTTCGTAATATTTTATATATGCCTCAGATAAAAAAATAAAATTAATAAATGATATCAGGTTAGCAAATCTAACCCTCCTGATCCTCTAATCCATATACAGTATGTGATTAGTTTTCATCGAAGAACTTGAATGCCTTTGTCTGGTCATAAGGTTGCCCCTTTTGACGGAAATTAATTATAGTATAGTTTTGCGCTGGGGAGGCATGATTGTCTGGCGAATGTCGAAGGGCTTGGCTGACAATGATTATAGCTTCTGATAAATTCTTCGCACTATGTGAAATGACCGCAAATACTGCTCCTAATTTGCACAAATAGCTAGGAAGGAGTGGTTTACCAGTTTCAGGAAGAAATCTATCTTTTTTCAGGAATGTATTGAACCATTTGACTCCTCGTACTCCTGGATCCCTCAACTGTCCAGAAGAAATTGCACCCTGAATCCAAGTAAGGAGAAGTTTAGCCCGCTCTTCATCTCTTTCTAACGATCTAAACACTCGAGGATTATCCTGCTGATCTCGGTTTTTTGAATATCCAGTTACACTTCCATTAGAAATGCGCAAGTCTTTAATTTCAGCGGGACGGATGCAGAGCATGATCATTACATCGGCTAGAGCTTGAATGTTGGGTGTATTAGATATATCATACGAATCTAATCTCTCCTTGACCGATTCTAGCGAGAAGTGATCGGGATAATCAATCCCTTCATTTTCACATTGTTCCCTACACTCCTTTTGAATTTTATTAGCTGAACGGGTTCTGTCTGGAATAAATGTAGCTGAGATAATTTTTTCTGAGACTTCGAGGTTTCGCATCTCTCTTCGAAGTCTAGTGAGGCGTGATAAACCGGCGCTATCATTAGAGGCAGATTCAGCTAAGGCTTTTGCTATAGATTCTGCATCTTTTTCGCTAAGATTATCCTGGGTAATTCGCTGAGCTATCATTTCGACAGTTTCTCCGTCTGGAATTATGTCGGATACTTAGCATATATTAACTTTCCCCACTTCATCCCCTCCTTCTTTGGGGGTTACTCGACTTCTACTTCGACAAATTCTCTGATCAGAAACTAATATAAATGCCTGCTCTTTGCTAAAATTATACCCTTTTTGAAAGCGCTGTCGACCCTTGTCTCTTTTTACTTTATCTGTCAAAAGCTCGAGTAATGCTGGAGCATGCTGGCTAAGTTCATCATTACCCATCTCTTTATTGAGTTTATGCTCTGCAACGTACTTTGTTACAATCGCGGACATGATAATGTGGATATGAAGTAACTATTAGATTATGTGTAACTGTTAGGTTATACTACACATAAAAAAGTTCAATTCAAAAAATTCCTTAATCTCGAGCACTAAAGCAAAGCAATTTTGAATATCTATAATAAAAGTGAAGATGAAGTTTTAAGATTATTAATATCAAATTACCTCGTATGGATCGTTTATCCTGTCAATACATTAAGAAAGATGGTTCAATTTGTGAGAAAGGATGCTGGCGTGCTTTAGGATGTGCTATACATTATAAAACCCGTTCTAAAACAATATGCCCTGTCTGTGATAAGCAAACCTATTCTGATACTGGAATCTGTAGCACATATGGTGGAATTTATAAGAATGCCTATCGTGAGGGTAAAAAAATAAAATGAAATCAGATATGGGTTGAAGTACTAATTTTCCTCAAACAAAAAAATAATAATTCAGAATTTTATATCGCTTAGTTGTAAAGAACAAATAGACCCTCTTATCCAAACACCTTACCTATAAACTGGCTTCTTACTCGCTCTTTACCAAAGCATACCATTCTCCTGGAGTATACTTACTGTTTTTTGCCATTTCTCATCGGTATTAAGCCATGAGGTTGTGACTCCATCATCCTCAAGTCTACGACGGATAATTTCTTCTCCTATCAATCTTTCCCGTACTTTCATGTCCATATATTCATTGGGATCTTCTTCCAACTCTACTGCATAACTACACATTTGAGAGTCAGTTTCCATTTTATCCTGGAATCCAATATAATCGAGCCTATCTTTTTCAGTGATAGTCACAAAGGTATCTGGATTCTCACCTAGCTCGACTGCCTTTTTCCTAAGACGCTCTTCTCAGTGAGTCCTGGATAGGAGAATGGCAGATGATACTTGATTTATAGGCTTAGGAGAATTGATTGGGATCTCTTTGGAAGGTATATTCATAGCTTCACTGATAGATTTGGGATCGGAAAGCATGCTAGTCCCAGGATCATCAATTACTAGCTCAGATGTTTTAGAAGTCACAGATATTTCAGATGTTCCAGATGTTGAGACGACTAG